GTGATTAAACCAAGAAATATATCTAATAACATGTCAATTCGACTTATTGATGATAGTATCTCTTATAAGTATAGTAAAATTTAACATTGTGTTGTTGCATTAGTAATAAAAAACATTAACTATGGTTTATATATTGAAACTTTAATGTCATCCAATAGCTAAGATTACTATTAATTAATTGGCCTTGTGGTTGGTCAAGGGAGGAGCACGGGTTAGAGATATTTCTTCTGTACACATAACTCTGGTTTATTCATCCTGATGGCTACTGCCTCAGCCGTTTGAAGGACTTTAAGAATGACAAACTTTGGCAAAAAAATTACTGACCCTATAAATAATTGAAAAGGATTGGTTTATACTGGCATTATGACCAGTTTGTACTAAATGGGCCAATAGAGAGTTGTTGACTTTCTTCACCAAACTTTTGCTTAGCCAAGCTAGGAGGTGTTCGGGAGCCCGAAAATGTCAATTCCTAGAACTTTGACCAATATAACTAGCTCCACAGGAGCAGTGGTACTGACCCATATTTATTCTGATCACAGATCTTAAATTTTCACTTCACATACATACAGATTCAAGTTAACATTCTATATGATATAAATTAACTAATCAAGTTTTTATCAGAAGGGGTTTTGTGGAGATCTAGTGTTTTCGTAGTTGCAAGCGTTAGTCAATTGAAGCAAGACCACCACAAAAACCTGGAAGCACTGGATGACCATCTCGTCTTATTGTGGGACTCCTCAGCAGTGCTCATCCACAACCTCGCCTCGCGAGATTCGAACCCAGGACCTACCAGCCTCGCTCCAGAGCACTTAACCGATAGACCAGTGAGCTGGCGTTCGGTGGTGTTTATGTCTAACTCCAACCAAGCCACGAAGTTGAGCTACCTTTCACCAATTGTCTTCAGTGAGTTCCTATCTCACAACAGACGTGGTTTGAACTCCACTGGTCACTGCTTCTCACTAGAACTCCAGCATTTACCTCTCGAAGTCGGTCACTAGTGAGCATATGATTATTATAATAAGAAGGGAATTTTGTGTAGATTTAGTATTTTCATAGCTGCAAGGTCGTGGATGTGCACTTCTGATGAGTCCCACAATAGGTCAAAGCGGCCGTCCGGTGCATCCAGGTTTTCCTTGGTGGTCTAGCTTCAATTGACTCACGCGTGCAACTAATCAAGTTTTATTCATTTCGACTTTTATTATTATTATTCTTTGGTATGAAGCCAGTTTATAAGAAATAACCTCTAGTTTTATACACAAACTTATCATAAATTTAAAACAACAAATGGCAAACAATAAAAGAAAAAGAAAAAACAAAGAACAAACATCATCAGTTTTCTCTATGAAACTTTATTGTTACTATTTTTTGTTGTTGTTTAATTTTCATATAGTTTATGGATAGATATTAAAATGATTGATGTTTTTTTACTTCTGAACAAAAGTAAATCCTCTTCATATATTTTAACCATAGAAATGATAACTAAAAAATAAAAGGGATTAAGTCTTAGTGATGTTATATCCCTTGGAGATTTATGAATGGTAACTTTTAAGGACTACTTATGGACCAATATGATATGTATATTTCCTATTCTGTAATTGTTAAGTAACTATACTATTCATATTCATGTTTCTTTTATTATAAGGTTTATTTTGACCTATGAACTATTACTGTATGATTTACCATTCTTGAGTTATCCGCAATCTATTGATTACTGTTCCCCACATTCACAACCACATTTGGCTAAATCTTGTACAAATGTTATTTTCTATATTATGGTACGATGTGGTCTGTTTGATTGATATATAAACACAGTATGTTTGAGATAAATGATTCATATTGCAGAGGCTTTTATTGGTGTTCTGGACTTAACTTGCTGGACCAGGCAGATAGCAGGAATGATAAGTACTCAAGACTGCTCAATACGATTTTGTCTATCATTGCTCCGATCGATAATTCGCCTTTCTCTCGTTGGCGGGAATCAGCATGTTCATATATATTAAACAGGGCACGTACGCACTCAATCGATATAATAAGTGAAAATGTCATGATCTATGCATGAATGATACATGGATTATTTAAAATCCTACAAAAAAAACACACCGAGACTGACATTCTACGGTAGTAAATCTTATAGACTGTATGACTGTATTATATGAAGCTGATGAGTTTAATTTATAAGAATATTTCCATAAAAAATATACCTCATTATTATTTTTATTGTGAATTATCTGTCTCAGTTTTAAAACTAAGTTATTAACCAAGTTGCTACACTGACTATTTCTTTATGTAGTTTTTCTTTCAAAACTAAAGACTTTCTTCAATGTAACCATCATTAATATGATGAAATATGAATGAATGTAAGCATTTAAACTTACAAAAAGTATGCTGCTACCGCTCTGTATTTTGAAGAAAAGAAAAGAAAGTATGAACCGGATATTCACTTTTGAGGTATAAGAAAGATTAAATATCTTAGTTATGGGATTTTTATCTATTCTAAAAATACTTTAATTGTTAATATACTTTGATTAGATTAGGGTAGTTCATCTTGGTAACAAATGAGGGTAACGATTTTTTTTTAGAAATTTCTCGGGTCAAAAGAATTGAATCTATAGTTACAAAGGCACTATAGTGTAGTTTGGTTAGAAAATGATGAAATATAATTTAACTAAAGGCTGTTTATTTAGTTAACTCCTGAATAATCTGCAGGTATATTCTATACTACTTAATAAACTAATATGAGTAGAACTTAAGTAATAAGAATATTTTTCAGGAATTGTATTTTGTAATCTGTTTGTTGAATGTTTTTGAGATTAATTCGAATTGAATTTATTATACAACTACTGAATATCAGTCTTAAAAATTGATGTAAATTAAAAAAATGAAATCACTTGTTAAAGGAAGTGTTATATCCCGAAGAGAATTACGAATGGTATGTTTTGAGAACTATTTATGGACCAATATGATATGTATATTTCCTATTGTTTAGTTGTTAAGTAACTCAACTATTCATATTCATGTTTCCTTTATTATGAGCTTCATTTTGACCTATAGACTATTACTGAACGATTTACCATCCTTAAGTTATACCCAGTCTATTAATTGCTGTTCCCCACATTCACAACCACATTTGGCTAAATCTTGTACAAATGTTATTTTCTATATTATGGTACGATGTGGTATGTATAATTGGTATATAAACATACTATGTTTGAAAAAAGAGTTCATATTGCAGAGGCTTTTATTGGTGTTCTGGACTTAACTGGCTGAGGTAGGCAGAAAGCAGAACCGACAAATGCTCTAAACTGCTCCTACGGGTTTCATATGTCACTGGTTCGATCAATAAATCACTGCTCTCTAATTAGCGGCATCGACACGTCATATATTAACAGGGCATTCGGCTACACGATATAACAGGAAGAATTTAAAATTCTTGATTATTTCGACTACTGTAACAGTTAATTAAATAAATTAATTCCAAATCATTAAATAAATAATATTTTCAAATCCTAGGAATAGTAAGATACTTTGTCAATTCTACACTACTAGTCGGTTTGTTGTTTAATAAGCTAATTTTCTTGTTATTTTGCCATAAACAAAGGACATTGGGACAAAACTCAAGCAATTTCCGCTTTTTACACAGTCATTTCCATTATCTGTTGACAAATAGTTCACTTATCAGTTATAAAATGTTTGTTTATGGCATAGAGATATACCTATAAAGTTTTTCTAATAATGTCAGATAAAAGTTTGCATCCTTTATTTGTCTTATTTCTTGAAAAAAGTTAAGCGTCGTTTACACATTACTGTTCTGATACAATATGATTAAATAGAGATATTTTGTTCATCTTAAATGTTCTGTGACTTCATTATATCACACTTATATGAATGAAGAATATTCTTTTCAATAATTTCTCATCAGGTTCTACAATTATAAATTAATAATCCATAAAAAATTCGCCAAGTTTAAGACAGAGTACATCATTTAAGAAACTGTAACATGTGAATAAAGGAGTGTTGTTTGTCAAATCAAATCGAATCGTTAATATTGGAGCTGACTGATATGAAGTGTTAGCTTGGATCAGTTTATAAGTGAAATGAAATTGTGAGATAAATGATTGATCAGAAGGGGCTTTTGTGGATATTTCGTTATTTTCATAGTTGAAATCATGAGTAAATTGAAGCTAGACCACCATGGAAAACATGGAAGCACTGGAACAGTTGAAGTTAGACATTAACACCGTTGGATGCCGGCTCAGTGGTCTATCGATTAAGTGCTCCGGCGCGAAGCTGGTAGGTCGTGGGTTCGAATCTCGTGAGTGCGAGATCGTGGATGCGCACTGCTGAGGTGTCCCACAATAGGACGTCTAGTGCTTCCAGGTTTTCCATGGTGATCTAGCTTCAATGGACTCATGATTTCAACTATGAAGATAAATGATTATCAGAATATATATAGTTGACATGGGATAAGAGAGAATAAATGTACTCTGCCTTAAACTTCGCCAATTTTTCTTATGGATTATTCATTTAGATTTATAATTGTAGAACCTGATTATTGAAATTATTGAAAAGAATATTCTTCGTTCATATAATTGTGTTTTAAATATGATGGGAATTTTTCAGCGACTTATTTAATGTTTTCATTGATTGAATATGCTTATATACAATGGTCATAATGAAATTAAATTTAGTGTGACGTACCCAGCAATAGAAAATGGCATACTAAAAAAAATAAAGATATGATTATTGAAATAAGAAATTTACATTTATATTTTATAAGAAGGGGGTTTTGTGAAGATTCTAGTAATTTTATATAGTTGAAATCATGACTATTATGGACCATCATGGAAAACCTAGAAGCACTGGATAGCCGTTTCGTCCTACTATGGGGCTCCTCAGCTGTGCGTATCCACGATCCCGCGTCGCGAGATTTGAATCCACGAGAGCACTTAACCTCTAGAACCACTGAGCCGGCATCCAACGGTGTTAATGTCTAACTTCAACCAATCCACGAAATTGAGCAACCACTCACCATTGTCTTCAGTGAGTTAATATCTCACGACAGATCTGGTTGAACTCCACTGATCACTGCTTCTCACTGGAACTCCAGGAAATACCTCTTGAAGCCAGTAAATATATATATATATATTGTTTGTTTTTTAGACGTTTATACAGTTTGATTTTTACAAAATACTTCACTGTCACTCTTGAACACAACAACTAGATGTTAGAAAAGATATATGTGATTAAAATAGATCATTGATTTCTCTGTTATTTTATGAAGAATGCCAATCTTGTAATACAATATACTGCTATGTTCAATATTAATGAGACTTAATTTTCCCTCATGTTAAACAGTATAATTGTTTAAACATAAACTATTCACCCAGAACAATAGACTTACTGTAACCATGATGGCGCAGTTCTAACAAAGTGATATGATATAAGAATTTTATGCATTAGTGATTCGATCTTAACTACAATGTGTAGACTTTTAGGAATTATAATCCTAAGATAAAAAATACGGTAGAGGAGTTTTCCATTTGGATTAAAGTAATTTCGTTCACTGTCATTTTACACTATGATATGTTTCTCATTGTATAGAAATAAGAAAATAAAGTAAAAAATATGACCAAACAAAACAAATATCACATTATTTTAATTATTATATACTTCGATTTATTCAAAGTATTAAGACATTCGACACTTTTGGTTAAGTTAACATCTTGACCAACATTGGTTTTCTTTCACTAGTATATCTCTGTCAGAAACCGGATATTACATTTACGACACTGTGAATAAATTTAACAACAATAACAGAAACATCCTTTTATATCGAGAATAGAAATTTAATGTGAAACTATCACATGAAGAAAGTAGACCCCTGATAGATAAGCACACAGAATATTTAATTGTATTTTGTCATATTTAAACAGTTTTACCTAAGTCTTGACATATAAGACTAAAACTGTGATAAACATTATATTATACAAGGTGAATACTCTTTCCACCTTCTTACACACGAACATAAACTATCAGTGATGTGGTAAAATATGTTATCACTGAAATCAATGCATGTAGACAACCATGGACATGAGTTTTACTGAGAGAACGACATGGGGATTCTACGAATCTTGAAGTATTTCTTGAAGTATAGCGTTTAGATCAATGGGCCGTTAGTAGTCATACCGATTTAGAGACGATTCAATTTAATTCGTCCAAAAAAGGTCAATAGAAAAAAATAGTCACCTTGAGTACAAAGACAGCTTACAACATCGAAAGCTACTGCGATACCTACCAGAGCAAATTGATTCGAAACTCGTGGAATAAATATAAAGCTCATTTCTACATGAACCAAGCGCTCATGATGTTCAGAATGATGATTAATGCTCCGTGACTAAACCATCTAGCTCAAAGAACTCAAAAGCATCAAACAAACTGAAGCTTTTCAGTTGTCTACTAAATCTTTAACCAACAATAATCTTTAGCTTATTTATGTATTATTCATTCGTTTTACTATATAAACGTGTTCTAAATCAAAACAGTACTACATCTAATATTGTTTCAGTCATCACATTTTAAACTCTCAGTGAAATGTGAAATAATAGTTTGACCATAACCAGTAACAATATGTAAAATAATAACAACAAAGTTGTATTATTTGTAATTAACCAATATGTTCCAATAATAGGAATGATTATGCTGGTTTGCTTTGCTTAAGAGTCCCATACTAGGACGAAATGGTCGTCCAGTACTTCCATGTTTTCAACAATACTCTAACATCAATCAATTAAAATGTTATTAAAATAGAAAATACATTATGAAAATTTTATTTTTTATTATTTAACTTTTACTGAATTGATTCTATTCATTATTCGTTTAGCTCTTATAAAAAAATATTTTAGTTAAATAGTTCCCGATATTCATTTACATTTTTCTGATCACCTTGAACCCGGAGCCAGGTAAGATTTTTTCACCTTTCATTAATTATTTAATAGATATCAAACTTTAAATCAATATGATTAAATTACATTTCAACTTACAAAAATGCTTTTCTTAAAAGTCTATAAATTTTCAAGGTTTCAAGAGTTTTAGTAACCGAACAATAAAGTTTTTTTAAGTCACGTAAATCTTTTTCATGTTAATATAAGAAAACTGTTTGACTGAGCAATCTTAGAGATTCAAATAGAATATTCATTTTTACACTACTTCAACTTTAAATTTATTTTCATAGTTGAAATCATGAGTCAGTTGAAGCTATATCACCATGGTAAACATGGAAGCACTGGATGACCGTTTAGTCCTATTGTGGGACTTCTCAGCAGTGCGCATCCACGATCCCGCCTCGCGAGACTCGAACCCATTGAACTATATTCTTGTCATAAAATTAAGTCAGAGTAGTGTTCTTGATCCACTTGTTAAAGATTAGTATAGTTTAGTCCTATTATTAATTGAATTGATCAGTTAATTATTTATTATTATTATTATTAGCTTTATTCAATATTATATTATTTGGTACAAAATCGAATTCTCAGCATAAAGTATTTCAACGTGTTTACGTTTCTTAATTCTTCATCTATCCTGACGATAAATATTCAGTGATCGCCAGTTAGATGTCAGCAGTTCAGTCAATCGACATATGAATAATGTATATTCTTTTTGCTGCATGTTCCCAGCAAACACGATATCTCTGATTAGGCCTTTTGTAACCTTTACAGCGAAAGGTTGTACAGTTTTCAGAAACGCACCTGAATAGGTTGTGTGCCTAATAGCCATAATGATGTATTAAAACAAACAATATTAGATAACTTGTTGAAATATATAAATGACAGGAACAGGTAGCCCAGATGTTTAAGCAGGCCGCCCTGGCAACTGAAAGTCAACTTGTTGAAATCTGATTATTGTTGAAATGTATGATACTAACAAATGGGTATTTAGGGAGATAATTGTTGGTTTGTTGCTTTAGATTTGTGACTGATCATTGATGAAGCGAATTCCTTCTATTTATTTTATCAAAGGACTGTAAACAAATACACAACTGGACTCCATAATTTAATTTTCTCTAAGGAACTATCATCCTCTAGAGAATTTCATCGGACGAGGTTAATATTATAAGTTATTTCCAAATGAAGAATTATTTTTGTATGTAATATCACTTAAAGTTTCATAACTTTCCGCTCTCTCAATTCTAAATGAAGCGTAGATTAGGATTAACTGAGCCTCTCGATCTACTCACTAATATTAAAGTCAGTATATATATTTATTTGACACCGCAAGCTGTGTATAGTATAGATTTCAAGCCAAGAAAACATAGTTGTTGATTCAATCCAAAATACCGTAGTGATATTTATTAAACTGATGTTAGACTCTTTCTATCTCTTTCCCAGTTAATCAGTTTAGTTTGATTAATAGCAACCTAACAATTGACAAAACACAAGAATTGAGACGAAACATCTTTGTACTATGTATAACTCATATACTTGACTAAACATTATATTGTAGTCACAGATCCAGTAATGACCACCGAGTTATCGACAAATTATGAACCATTAAAACCATTTTCAGTAGTGAAAATTTCCAAACATTTCTCATGTCAGAGAAATGTTTCGTCATAATAGATTTATATGTTTTTTACCTAACGTATTTGTCACTTATGTGTAAATATTCCTCTGTTACGTAATGAGTGTTTTTTTTTAAAGTTTGCGTGGATTTATACCAAACTTACGGGTGTTTTCCATGTGGACTAAAATCAAATCAAGAAATATGTTAGAGTGTATTTATTCATTCTGATAATACAATCAAATTTATATAAAGATGATGGTAATAACCTGAAGAATTTTTTAATACTTTTACTACCTGTATATAATAGTTTAATAAAATAATTGTTCACTATACAAGGAATAAAATGCTGAATTATATTCGATAGAACCTAACTTATACATTAACACTGTTTATTGCCAGCTCAAAGGTTCTACAGGTAAAGTGCTGGCGCACGAGACTGATAGGTCCTCGTTTCGAATCTCACGAGGCGGGATCGTGGATGCAGACTACTGAGGATTCCCACAATAGGATGAAACGGCCGTTCAGTGCTTCCAGGTTTTCCATAGTGGTCTAGCTTCAATTGATTCATAATGTCAACTGTTAAAACAACCTAACTTATTTACAACAGAATCTAATTCATTTATATAATTGAGAATTAACTAGTAATCTTAGAATTTGAATATGTATATTCGAAGTTAAGCATTGGAGTCAGACAAGGTTGTCTACTCTCCCCATTCCTCTTCCTTCTGGTGATTGACTGGATTATGATGACTTCGACATCTGAGGAGAAATAGGGAATACAATGAACTTTTCAGAATCAATTAGATGATTTGGACTTCGCTGATGACCTATCCCTCCTCTCTCATACACATTAACAAATGCAGATGAAGACAGCAAATGTAACAGCAGCCTCTGCATCGATAGGTCTCCACATTCACAAAGGAAAAGGAGGATCGGATGCAGATGTAAAGGCGAGGATAAGCAAAGCAAAGGCAGCATTTCTAAAATTGAAGAACATATGAGACTCAAAACAACTCTCAACTAATTTCAAAGTCAGAATCTTTAATACGAACGTCAAGACAGTCAGTTCTACTGTATGGAGCTGAAACGTGGAGAACTAATACGACCATCATCAGGAAGAAACAAGTATTAATAAACAGTTGTCTACGCAAAATACTCAACTTCCATTGGCCGGATACTATCAGCAACAGCGTTTTATGGGAGAGGACAAACAAGCTTCCAGCTGAAGAGGAAATTAGGAAAAGACATTGGAAGTGGATCGGACATACATTAAGAAAACCACCAATGTGCATTACAAGGAAATCCCTAACTTGGAATCCGGAAGGGAAGCGGAAAAGAGGAAGGCTAAAGAACACATTACGCCGGGAAATAGAAGCAGATATAAAAAGGATGAATGTTAACTGGAAAGAACTGGAAAGGAAGGCTCAGGACACAGTTGGATGGAGAATGCTGGTGAGCGGCCTATGCTCCTCGACGAGGGGTAACAGACGTAAGTAAGTAAGTGAGTAATATTAAAAGTTGTGCCTTGCATTCACGATTTATTTAATTTCTTAATTAAACTGTGAATAACTGATTTACAAAGGTTGTTTTGAATAAACTAGTGTACAATATATATGTAATCATAATATATGTTTAATTGACCAAATCTGTTAAGTTCCCTTATTATTATGACTATAAAAACAGTATACAAAACTAAACTTTTGTTGCTATATACTTACACATCTGGTTGTGATGGTCTAATTAGTTTAAATGATTCATTATCATACACACAAATTTTGATTAAATTAAGATTTTTCAATTTTGCAGTTACAATATATTACTGTTTTATACCAATATTCTGTTAGTAAATCTATTCAGTCTAATTGTAAAAATGTCTAACACAATATCTAACTTTCAATCTGTTCATAACTGTTATGAAGTATTTGGAAATAGGTGTGATAGTTCCAGCTGGCAAATTTCTCCTAGACTAACTGACTACTTTTTAGTAAATAATTGAGTATTTTCTTTTCCACAAACATAATAGAGTACTATCGAAACTCAAAGAAAGGAACATTTATTTTAGCAGTACTGATACATACTGGTAGGCGGCAATTAACTATAATTCTGTATGAAGAGATTTCTATCGACCATCTCTAATCGAATTGCACCGAATTGTGATCCATGTTGATTTTTGTTATATATTAAACAATTACTTTCGCTTTTCATTTTTAGTAACATATCATTACATCCAAGTGTTCATTCAGTCGTTCGTAAAACAGCTTTGGTTATTACATAAACAACCATAAAATTCAAGTGATTTATCATATTATAACAACAGTGATCATAAATCTTTTCAGTTTGTTGAAAACTATTTTAGTGTCTAAAGTAGATACTACTTTCTATTGTATTACTCATTCAAAATTTCGAAGTTAATAAAACATAAATTTATAACCCTGATGTTAGATTACCATTTGGTGAATGAAATACTGAGCTTTTAATAATGATTTGAATCAACCTCAAAATATCAAATCTTCTTAATGAGCTTAGAGTCATTTGATCTACGCTACCAAAACGACAGTAAATTAAGATGATTTATAAAGAGACCCTTCAGCACTGTTTGTGGAATTTAAAGGAAACAATGTCAGAAAGATTATACTCAACACTTTATTGGACCATTTTAATGAGCAATATTTTATTCCAATGCCAAAACAATGAGCTTAAGTTTGTAAATTTAAATTGCAGGTATGGGAAAATAGAAAAAAAACTGATTTGCAGCTTAGAATCGTAAAAGGTTTTGGCTGTACTAGACCATTTTCCAAATACTGGATGCAAATCTATTAATATCTAGTTATGTATATACATGTATTTCTACTCAAGAACTTTATACCTTCTATTCTTTGGTTCTCTCGATAAATCAAAAAGGCTTAATTCATTGAGACTGGATTAGACCATAAAAAACGAATCAAATTAACATATTTTTGAGATATATATTCTCAGCTGTAGAACATGGTGTATTACATAGTCAATGAAACTTTATCATTATCTTAATAAATCACTCTGATTGTTTACACTTTAAACACTACATGATAAGTAGTAAACTACATCAAAATACTGACAAACGATAGTTGTTAATTTGACAGTTATGTAATTTTTAAAAAAAATTATGATGTACACTTTAAAGAATACAAACAATGTCATTACATTTTAATAAAAGTAAACATAGAAAATGAGTTCGGTAATAATAATAGTACTCACTAATGAAAATTTTGAAAAAACGTTCATCAGTCTTAATATTTCTGATGTATGTTTCTTTCCATTTTATTTCACAGTTTATTTTACAGATTCAACTTAGTTAGACAATCGTTGTCAAACCATAAATCTTTAGATAACTATTTTGTACTCATGTGATATTTCTCAAGAATGTACGTCCACCAGTTCACTGAATATCGAACCTATAAATTTTAGGTCTCATAGAGAGCATAAACTTTTGACCATCGAACCAACATTCTATGGTTTATTTGTATAAATTCTGTTGTTTTATTAAAACAAACTTTTATATATATTTGTAATGCTTATTTATCGCTAACATGAAATGAGCACTTTAGTCGTTATGAAACCTATTGTTGAAGCATTTTATAAGTTCATTACAATTTTCAACAAAGAAAAACAGATATTTACTACTGAATAACATCAATTAGTAGGTACTAATGTGATTTTTAAAATTCTGTGTCATTTATTCATGACATAAAACTAACTTTTCTTCCTCTTCACTAAAAAAGAATGAAGATTTATTCTATATACTATCTTATATATCTGATTAAATGTAACCGGGTTCAAACTCAGACTGTACAACTGAAGTAATCGATTTTAGGAATGTCATAAACAAAGAGCAACTTATTATTTAAACTACTTATTGTATGAAATAAAATTGGATTTGAACTAGTGATCTATATAAACATGTCATGTATTAAAACTAACATGATAGATATCCGACAAACAAAATGTCAACCAACCTCTTTCCTATATGAGATCATGAAATCATCATTTTTAGCTGTTATGAAACCTTTTGTTGCTGAACGAATAAAGGCTGATTTTTTTTAATCAGTAATATCCATTAATTCCTAAAGCAATTTATAAGTTCATTACAATTTTCAGCAAGGAAAAATAGATATTTACTACTAAATAACATCAATTAGTAGGTACTGATGTGATTTTAAAAATTCTGTGTAATTTGATATGTAACTAACTTTTCTTCCTCTTCACTAAAAAAGAATGAAAAGTCATTTGAAGCTAAATAAATAATGCACTATTCTATATACTATCTTGTATATCTGATTAGATGTAACCGGGTTGAAACTCAAACTGTCCAACTGAAGTAATCGAATTTAAGGATCTCATAAACTGCTGAGGAGTCCCATAATGGAAGGAAACGGTCGTCCAGTGCTTCCAGGTTTTCCATGGTAGTCTAGCTTCAATTGACTCATGATTTCGATTATGAAAATACTGAAATCTTAACAAAACCCCTTTTAATCTATAATCATATACTGACTAGTGACTGACTTCAAGGGATGTTTCCTTGAGTTCTAGTGGAAAGCAGTGACCACTGGAGTTCAACTAAGTCTGTTGTAGAGGTATCAACTAACTGAAGACAATTGGTGAACGGTTGCTCAAAAACATCGTGGGTTGTTTGAAGTTAGACAATAATACCGTTGGATGCCTGCCAGTTCAGTGGTCTATCGGTTAAGCGCTTTGGCGCGAGACTGGTAGGTCCTGAGCTCGAATCTCGCGAATGCGGGATCGTGGATGCACACTGTCGAGGAATCCCACAATAGGACGAAACGGCGGTTTAGTGCTTCTAGGTTTTCCATGGTTGTCTAGCTTCAATTGACTCATGATTTCAACTATGAAAAAGAGGAATTTACTATTTAAACTACTTATTGTGTGAAATAAAGTTTCATTTGAACTTATGACCTAATATAAACATGTCGGGTATTTAAACTAACATGCTAGATAACCGGCAAACAAAACATCAACCAATTTTTTTCCTACATGAGAGAGTTTTATTAAACAGAACATTTAGACCTGATGAAATAAGCGCTTTGGCCGTTATGAAACCAATTATTGCTGACTGAATAAATGTTGATTTTTTTATCAGCAAAATCCATTAATTCCTAAAGCATTTTATAAGTTCATTACAATTTTTCACCAAATAAAAAACAGGTATATACTACTGAATAACATCAGTTAGTAGGTACTGATGTGATTTTAAAAATTCTGTGTCATTTAATCTTGATATATAACTAACTTTTCTTCCTCTTCACTAAAAAAAGAATGAAAATTTATTCTATATACTATCTTATATATCTGATTAAATGTAACCGGGTTCAAACACAAACTGTCCAACTGAAATAATCGATTTTACAAATCACATAAACAAAGAAGAATTTATTATTTCTATTTGAACCTGTTACCTAATATGCACATGTCGGGTATTTAAATTAACATGCTAGATATCCAATAAACAAAACATTAACCAATTTGTTTCCTGCATGAGAGAACTTTACTAATCAAAATATTTAGACCAAATGTTTATGCTTGACTTTAAACTATTGAATAGTGTATGATTTCCATACCCTACTTCTCTCTGATTTTTGGTGTCATTTCAATGCTTGTGTAAATTATTTTCATGTTGAGAATTTTTTTTCTGTCAACTAGTAGAAAGTCTTTTTTTATGTAGACTGTCGGTCATTAACTATTAAGGCAAACAAATCTGTACATTATGAGTTACCTTACTTAAATTGGCTATGTCAAATTATTTATACGATTTTACTATACTGATACTCTTAATGTAATTAGGTGGGCTTTTAATAAATATAATGAAAAAAAGGTATTTGCTAGTATTGTTTTAAACTATAAAAAAGTTAACTTTGATACACAAGTCGAATATATTTACTTTGTTCTTCGTATCTGTGTCAAGCTGTTGACTATAGAACACTCAAAAAGTATTTTTTCTAAAAACTGCCACCCGATGTTATAACCAACATTTTTTTCCAAACAAACCTAAATTCATTATCTTTATCAAGCACCATTTAGTTTTAATCTCGTATTTCCCTTCGTCCTGCCTTTATTTGACTTTTTATGTTTCCAAACTTTTAGACAGAATATTTGATATAGAATCAATGGAATGTGAATAGCTGTAGAATCCAGAAATAGCATTCCTCCTCATTTAGTATTCATCACCTTAATGCACCTGCATCCAATATTTGATGTTCACCCAGAAACTCAAATCCAATTCTGTTTACTTTAAACACCATCGAACTATCCACTTAGCTACCGAGTCCAGATAGAAACTGAAGAGCATCCTGAATTCTACTGCTAGCCAGATTCCATCTATTCGATATCAACTTGTGTTACAATGGTCATATCGGAGTAATCCACAAACGATCCCGTAATACCAATCAAGATTGATCAAATTTCAGTTATCAACAACAGGATAAACCAACCCATTTCAATTTGAATTGAGATAATTTAAATTTAAATTAAATGACCGATAATATCAAAATGAAAATATTTGAATTTAGTTATTATATTATGAATAGAATAAAAGAGATGTATATAAATTAATCAGATCAGTTAATATAAAACAAATATAAACAGGAATAATGAAACTAGTAATAATCAACTAAATAATAAAGTCCCAGAGTGAATATCAACTCTGAAATATAGGTACATCCAACTGACGAGTCCCAAATAAGACGAAACGCACGTCCTGGATTCCACTACTAGCCATTATCCATCGTTGCTTAATTAGCTTAAGAGAGTAAATAGCAAATCTTATACATATAGGTTAGTTAACTACCCTTTATTGAAATAAAAATGATATTCTTTATGGAAAAATTCATAATATGCAAAAGATTTCTTAGATGAAATATTAAAATTTTTAGATGAGAACATATGTCCATGCATAATATAGAATGATATATACTACGTATTGTAAACAAATGAAATAGAATAGATAAAGTATATCATTATGAACAGAACTACTTACCTTTCATAGTTACCTAGAATTTAACATAAATTACATTTTTTTTCAATAAGCTAACTTTGATTATTTCATGAAATGAGTTATTACAATTAAATAAGTTATCATCATTCTTGATTTGGTTTACATGTACTTACTAATTGTTAACATTGAAATAAGATTCATTGTTTTAAACAATTATAGATAAGAAACAAGTAAGTTGGTAAAATATTTCACTTACTAAACATTATGATTTTCATTTGGTATTATTTATTTGAATCTTGAAATTGATGTTTAGAACTTCAATTTATCAATCTCTTATTGGTATATGTGCATACTATATGGATTGCATCTATATTGCCTTAATTCAAAAACGTTATGAGCAAAGATGGATAGTGGCTAGCAGTGAAATCGAGGATGCACATTTCATACTTGCACAAGGAAGTGGTTATGAGAACTTAGTAGCTAAGTCGATTACGAAATGACGTTTGAAGCGAACGGTATTGGGATGGAGTTCTAAAGTGAACATCAACTCTGAGATGCAGGTACATTCAGTTGACGAGTTCCGAATAGGATGGAACTTGCGTCCTGGATTCCACTTCAAGCTACTATCCATCTTTAATTATTATGATTTTCTATTGTTATATTACTAGTGAAGATATTTTTTTTTAATGAAGTATGAACTCGTTTATATGATATCTCTGTATTTTCATTAATGATATTTTAATAAAAGAAAGAAGATTCAAAAGAAATATATCAACAAAGAGCATGTTATTTATAAAGATTTAATTTCTAAACATTTGCTTTAATCGATAGCGTACCTGCGTCCAGTATGGAGAATTCACAGAATGGTATTAATGCCAGTTAACAAAGTAATTGAATCACAAGGATGATTAGAAAAAGATAAATTTACAAACCCTACTAAAATTACCCTAGATAGTATGATCATTAGCTATAAACAGTTTCAACTATTAAATAGTAGTATGATTAATATATTTTAGTCAATAAAATTGATTTTATTGTTTAAAGCAAGACTGATAGTCATATAAATAGGAAAAAGAGGAAAATTATGATCTTGTATATAGAATGGTTGAGATCACTAATTGTTTATATGCTTAATGCCATGAATACTATGAATTGAAGGGAATAAATTAAACAAATAATTATGAAGACATATGAATTTTCTTTTCGACAGTATGATTTTCTGAAGCTCTACACTTGTATATATTGGTTCTCCTTCCAGCCAAAACAAGTTGGTGAAGCCTAGAATGCCCTTCTGGAGAAGAGGCTATATCGAAGCACGATACAACTACCGGGGCTCAATAGCTGTTTTTCCAGATATTTTTTCTCTTAGGTTTTGTCGTTTTTGGGGCAGGTAACAGTTGTACTATTTTTCTTTGTAGCATTCGTAATCATTTATGGGTATTGGTCGAGTGGATGATTATCCCGATCTCTACCACCCGGTTTTACGCTCACGTTAGTTCATTGGACTGAGTCTCACTATCGAGGAGGCACAACAAAAACATGTGAGTCAGGTTCTTCTTTTATAAGTAGTAAGTAATCTTCATGCAACTTCATTTCATTTCCGTTGACTTCCATTTGAATAAGTTTGACTATCTTTGATAATTTTGTAAAATTCTACTATTTTACCAAAGACTACTATATGTAAAGAATTACCGAAAAGAATGATTATACAGTTTCAGAAAATGATATCGTCGAAATGAAAATTTCCTCCACTGAAACATCGTCACTTTTTCAATAAATCAATGGGCTTCTTTCGTTTATTTTTGTTTACACAAATCAGTTATTGTGTAATCAAGCTTTCAAAAATGTTGTTATATTCAATTGATGGTTAAAAGCACTGGATTATATAGTCAATAGAACCACATCAGTAATTATATTCGTATGATAAACAAAGGTTAGTAACTCTTTATTTCTCATTTAGTCACATTGAAAACTCTAACTGGTTATGGCCTTTAGAAGAAGTGAATAGGCTTCATTCCTTGTTAGTTAATTATTTTAGAAATGGAGTTATATGAAGAAGCCAAAATCATAAATCTTATCTAGTGTGTATATTTATCATACTTCTAATTTCATGTTTGATTTTGTACATCAATCTTGATAGCATTAAGTAAAATGTATCAAAACTGTGTTATTATTTGAAATTGGATTGTTTGTAACTGATGAGAAACCTTAAAATGTAATGAATTCATTTTATTCTACAAATCATATGCTCACTAGTGACTGGCTCCATGAGGTATTTCCTGGAGTTCTAGTGAGAAGCAGTAACCAGTGGAGTTCAACCAGGTCTGTCGGGAGATATCAACTCACTGAAGACATTGGTGAAATTGTTGCTCAACTACGTGGATTGATTGAAGTTAGACATTAACACCGTTGGATGCCGGCTCAGTGGTCTGTCGATTAAATGCTCGCGCGCGAGACTGATAGGTCCTGGGTTCGAATGTCGCGAGGCGGAATCGTGGATGCGCACTGCTGAGGAGTCACACAATAGGACGAAATGGCCGTCCAGTACTTTCAAATTTCCCTTGGTGGTCTAGCTACAATTGACTCATGATCTCAACTATAAAGAATTACATTTAATTTAATTAAATGAAATACGTTAATTTAAATTGAATATTTTTTGAATTTAATTATTCAAGGAGAATAAGATTAAATGTTCCTTAAATGTGAAAATATACGTGAATGAAAACATTAAAAAATGGTACAAAAATATTTTCAAAAAGACTAAGGTCATGACAGGGTGGTCATTTTAAACTGTTTCTTTTTATACATATCTGACCTTAGATAGTCTATAATCAATATTTAGATAATCCATATGAGATGTAACCATTATACATTTGATAAATTAGATTTCACCTTAGAAATATTGTTTAATAATGATCTTATAGATCATATTTAACACGTAGTTAAATGTTTCATTTATGAAATTTATTTTGTTCATTTTCTTAAACCTTACCACACAAATTCCATTCATTAACTTTTATACTAACAAATAAAAATTATAATTTAATAGTTAATTTCATGAATCGATTAAAGCTAGACTACCATTGGAAACCTGGAAATACTAAACAGCCATCTTGTTCTAATATGAAACTCCTCAACAGCGCCTATCCATGATCTTGCTCCGCTATATTCGAACCCAGGACCTACCGGCCTCGTGCGCATATGTTTAACCTCTAGACAACTGAACTGGGGATTAGATTGTTAACTCATATTTACTTATAAAAAAAACGAAGGAACTATAATTATACCTATAAATAACCATATGAATATAATTTACTTACCATCACATTGAACATAGGTAAAGAATAAAAATGAAATAAAACAAATCAATAAAATATGTGTTAACTTCATTGTTGAAGTCTTCTTTTTTGCAAATGATACTTTCTTAGTAACAAACTACTTCTCCTATAACAATTATCTATATATACCTATCTACCTATTTGTTTCCATTTACCATTTTAAGAAAGTTTTTTTTTTTATTAAGTAAATAAATGGATGTAATTACATCTTTAAAAAATAAACATATTGATACATATTACTAATCATATAGGCAATAAATGATCCAGGTTTTTTTTTTAAATCTGAGGGTAAAAATAAATTGATCCGTTTTACAATGTTTACAAAAAAAAAAGAAAAAAGAAAGGTAAATAAATATTGATATATCAGCCTAATGAAGAGAATAAACATACGTTTAGTAATAAGATATATAAAAAAAAGAAAATTGTTCTCAAATTACTAAGACTCAATGTTGACTTTAAAACAATCTTTAAAACAATCCTAAAATCTCGCATCAATCAAAAATAGATTGATTATTTATTATATACTAACTAGTAATTAATAAAGAAGTTAATATCAGTTTCAGTTTCAGTTTCAGTTTGGAAAGGACAGGAGGCTTGGTGGCCTGTGTTAGTCCTGGCAATGATGGTCTCTCAGCTGATCCAACTTTCTTTTGAAGGAGTCGACGGATGGAGCCTCAACCACGTGCTGAGGTAATGAATTCCACTCGTTGATTATTCGATGGGAAAGTCGGTAGTCAGCTGACAAGTAATTCGTTCTGGGCTTGTGAACTTTTTTGGAGTGTCCTCGTAGATTTTCTGTTTTGGAAGACAAGAAAAGATATATCAGCCTAATGAAGAGAATAAACATACGTTTAGTAATAAGATATATAAAAAAAAGAAAATTGTTCTCAAATTACTAAGACTCAATGTTGACTTTAAAACAATCTTTAAAACAATCCTAAAATCTCGCATCAATCAAAAATAGATTGATTATTTATTATATACTAACTAGTAATTAATAAAGAAGTTAATATGGTATGAAACTATAGATTATCGAATATAATCTGAATTAATTGACACTGTTTTGTTAGTAGTATACTGTAAAATGGTTAAAATATTATATAAGATTCTTAAATGAATGAATTCTAATAGTGTTGTATCTCTTGGAGAATTATGAATGGTAACTTTTGAGGACTAGTTATGGACCAATATGATATGTATGCTTCCTATTATATAATTGCTAAGTAACTTAACTATTCATATTCGTGTTCCTTTTATTATGAAATTTATTTTGACCCATAGACTATTACTGTATGATTTACCGTTCTTGAGTTATCCCCAGTCTATTGATTACTGTTCCCCACATTCACAGCCACATTTGGCTAAATCTTGTACACATGTTATTTTCTATATTATGGTACGATGTGGTCTGTTTGATTGGTATATAAACTCAATATGTTTGAAAATAATGATTCATATTGCAGATGCTGTTATTGGTGTTATAGACTTAACTTGCTCAGCTAGGCAGGAAGCAGGACTAATAAGTACTCAAAACTGCTCATATAGTTTTTGTGTATCACTTGTCCGATCAATAATTCACTCCTCTCTGATTGGCAGGAGTCATCACGTTCATATATCAACAGGGCACGCACGTACACGATATAACAAATAGATATCAAGAGGAAATCAGGATGAATATCAACTGTTAGCAGTTAGTTTATTGGTGGAATTCATACTTAATTTATGATATTTGAAATTAGATGGGTTCGAAAATTACCAAATTGTATATATATATATATATATATATACTGACTTCAACTGAATTTATTTTAACAGTAGAGATCATGAGTCGTTTGAAACTAGGCTACTATTAAGAACCTGAAAGCACTGGACAGCCGTTTCGTCCTATTGTGGAACTCCTTATTAGTGCGCATCTACGATCCCACTAGCGGGATTCGAACCCAAGACTTATCAGTCTCGCGCGCAAATACCTAACCTCTAGATCACTGAGCAGGCATCCAACGGTATTAATGTCTAGCTTCAACTAATCCACGAAATTGATCGACACATCCACCATTGTTTTCAATGAGTTAATATCTGACAACAGACCTGTTTGAAGTCCACTAGTTACTGCTTCTCACTAGAACTCCAAGAAATACCTCTTGAAGCCAGTCACTGGTGAGCATATGTTGATTAATATCAGAAAGGGATATTTATCGATATTATAGTAATATAATAGTTGAGATCATGAGTTAGATGAAACTAGACTACCATGGAATATATTTTATAGAATAATTATCTAGTAACAAAGGGCAGTTATGTCAGTAAAATAAAATAGCTAACAAATTGCTTCTTTTAAAAAATACGCTTAAATACCATCTAATAACTGTGAGGTTTCTAAAAATAGTAATTGCTAGTAACAGTTGTAAACATTTTGAGTTTCGTCGAAAGTGTCTAACAGAATAGGGTGAGGAGTTACTGATATTGAAAATGTTCGATAAGTTAAAAAGGCTTTGAAAAATCTGACAGCAAAGATGATCGGTACTTACAGTTGCACTTGTAAAACTCAAATAAAATGAAGTAGTTAATGATGTAATTCAGTAGAAAAACAGCCAACTTATCACATACACTCTCATATTTTCATTCATGTTCTACATGATAAGCTACATTAACAATGACATTTATTATTCTATAAAGTTCAAAAACATACAGAAAGAGTTTTATCGTATAATAATTGCATTATAATGAATTGTCTATTATGAGTATTTACGTCATCGAGAATACATCAGTTTCTTAAACCATCAATATGTTTTAAAACACCTAAAAAAATTCAGAGGTTACGAAACAAAAACTTCTACTACCTTCATCAAAAATAAACTAATAACCTTACAATAAAGCGGGAACTCTAACTATCTTTTTCCTGAAAAATCTAGTAAAGCATTATTCTCAAAATCATTTGAAGTAATATCTCCATAATGACAAATAAAAGAGCTAAAGTAGAGTACCGAACTCACGTTACAGTCCAAGTGGACAGTCTCAAACGGTTGTTGACTATTTCCGATTATATAGACATCGCTAACAAACTGAGTTAAACGTGAATCGTCTTTGTTTATTTGTAACTCATAGTGTATACCTTACCTAAGAGCTGCTGTTAAAAGTGTGTTTTAATTACTTCAAGTTATTATCTAAGCTTTATAACATTAGACTTGTTGGAGGCAATATCTAGTATCTTGACTCTCTAGAATATTTGTTAACAGTTATTTTATGCTGGTTATTAGCTAATACACTGTTGTAGTCTGTTCGAGTGTTCGTTTCGTCTCGGCGAATAGTGGTGAATACTCTGTAGTATTGTATGTTTCCAGAATTGACTGATATCTTATGGAATCACTTAATGGCTTAGAAAAACAGTCTAAATTGATATTTAGTAAGTCACCAGGCTTTGAAAACATAGACCCTATGATCTCAGAGAGTCTGGATATGTTAATAACTGTCTATGAGATTGTGATGCTGAAAATATTTCTGAAGACGATTTTTATTCTGTCCATGTAATTTTTTGGTGACAGCTACTAATAAACTTTTGGTACTGTAGGATCAGTAGTTTCTGATGGTGATGTTCACATGAATTGCAAGAGTTGGTCGTCAGTTACATTATCTACAACGATAGTCTTTAATCAAACCTAGGTTTTTGAAAGCAGGGACAATAAACATTCTGAGGCGAGATAAATTCATTCTATTTCATGTGCCCTAAATCTTGCACACATGCACAGATTCTTATATATGAATAAATAAGATATTTTACGAATAAGATTTCGAGTATAACGTGTGTAAAGCCATTTAATTCACTTGTGAAGACTGATTAGTAATACTTTTCATATTCATGCAAGTGAAATTTATAGATGAATGGATTAATCGAGAGAGACAGCGACGTTATTGAAGATAAAGAATATGTAGGGCTTGTTATGAAAACTGTAAACAGGATAATAAAACTGATATTAATTGCCATGAAATAATACTACAGTGATCGTAATCATGGTGATTATTATACTAATAATGATAACAGTAGTTGAAGAGGCTGTGAAAAGACAGGAGTATTTAGACTAGTAAATTGGTAAGGAGTCTACTGACTAATGTCAAAATGATATTTTGTTGCCATACCCATCAAGTAAGGATGGAAATATGACCAAGTTGAACGATGGAAATGTCAGCAGTGAGCAAATCACCATGGTAATACCAGGTGAACCGAAAGTTCTTTTCATACAAGAAAACTGATATTGAGATGAGGAATAGACACTGAAAACCTCGGAAGGATTATTGGAAAGTAAGAAAGATCGAATGTAGATGTTACTGTACGAATTGGCAAAACAAGGAAAACATTCCTACTACTGACGAATATTTGAAACTCAAAATAACGGTTATCCAAGACCGAATTGCGAGTTTTCAACAGCTACGTTGGTTTATATTCACTTTTCTCACATTCGTTTCATTCCACTCCTTTCTGCACATTACTAAATACTATTTATTTTTATTCAGTAATCCATTCCATTTCTCACAACTTTTGAGTACCAACTGTGACGTATTTTCTGTCATTTATTTTTTTAACAAGTGTTTACATTAGATAATCGTCATTTTGTGGTATTGCTGAGTCATCTGCTCGTCTTTCATTTTGTTCTTCATTATTTTAGCTTCTTTCATATTTGCTTCTCTGTCTGCTTCCCTGGTATTCAAGATATCTGTAGACTAGATGCAAACTTTTAGACTGCCATCGTACTTTCGACACAGCCATCAGATATCACATGTGTTATACCATACTATTATAAATAACCGAATAAATTGACTCAGAAAGTATTCTTCTCTGACTGCACACAAAGTTAGTAGACATTGTTAACGTTTCATGAACTGTGTTTTGCAATGTAATCCGTATAATTTCATTATAATGGAACCGTCTTAAAATAGAATTTCGTTTTTTGATTTGCCATATTTGACTCATCATTTGATGTCTGTTCGAAACTTTGAGAAGAACTGATGTTAACTTCACACCAAATCTACAGTATGGATGATGTGAAAATCTTTACATATTTGGGCAGCAGCATTGATGAACACTGTAGATCTGATGCGGATGTAAAGGCGC